AAGTCTTCTGAAGAGAAACAGAGTATTCCGATCGAAAAATATTGATTATATTTCGGATTCTGGCCATCGTAGGGATTTAATCTTAACGTCGTTTAAGAATGTTTTAATATTTCTTGATTGTCTAAAGCTATCTTAGCCATAAGCAGTTACAATTTTTGAAATCGATTTATGTGCAAAGTGAAGGTCAATAAGTTAGGCATTTAAAGTCTTACCATCGCAATACCTGATTAATTCTCCATAAAAACTATGTTTTTTTTTTCTAAAATTTTTGTCCTACAAATTCCACGCCCATTTCTAGGGGTTCGTTGCCTTAAAAAATGTTTAAGAGTACCGTTAATTTCTTCATAATCCAATGATCGGATCTAAACTAAATTAGTATCGGACCACCTCGGAGGTGCCACCTTTCATCTAAAAAACAGAATTCTAGAAATCGGTTACCGTGGTCCAAAGAATTGACAACCCTATCCCTTTTTTTGTGGTCGGTTAATAATATATTCAACTAAATCAAACTTAAGAGGGTAAAGAAAGATTTTTGTTGAAAATTTTTTTGTCGCGGCTTAAAAAATGTAAAAGCTAAAAATATTGAAATTAAATGAAATATTACAACATTAGTATCAAAATAAAAGTCTTTGAGAAAGCTTTTTTTTGAACAGTTGCCACCTATCTAAAAGCCGAACTTAACGTTCGAAAGAATTTACAATGTATTATCAAACGAAGTGCTCAAAAAAACTTTCATCCAGAAATTGTTCAAATGTGTTGCCACTAAATTTATTCATTAAAATTTATACTGAGGGTTTTTAGTAATAGAGCTGAAATACCAATTAAGAAATATTTAGAAAACGAAAAATATTTATAAAAAAAATCGATTCGGAGAAATGTAAAACAATGCATTTTTAACTCTTCTATATACTTATTTCTCAAAGATATTTTTGTTTTACCAACGATATCTCTTTTAATCTCAAATTCAAATGATCAAATTCCGTGATTGGGAAGCCACCCACGAACGTGTGAAAAATAGTCACGTTATTCAAATTTAATTATATTTGAAAAAAAAAAGTGTTTTAAAGAGCTAAAACCACTGTATCCGATCGATCCAGCTCCATATCTTCTGTAATAATTCATCATATTTAATGTGTGAAGCATCATAGGGTTGCCACGTGTCGAAAAATTTTTGTGACTTAAATATATATCTTAAGTAAAATGCTGTGAGGATCTTCATACAGCAAGATTTTTCAGAAGCCTTTTGCAGCTGAAAGCAAAGCATTTTTTGATTTTTAATCTTCATTTTGAGTTTTCAGCTTCGTGGATCTGCTGCGAAGAAAATATCAAAATAGCAATGGAAACGAATTGAACAAAAATTTAGCCGGCTTTAATTGACGTTAAGTTTCGTTGAGTGTGAACACCAGCAACTTCGCCACGCTTCGCCTTCAGCGCCGCTCGCCCTTCAGTAAGTATGCACCCTTATACATTAGTATGGGTGTCACCATTGTCCTCTAAAAAGGTATTGAGTGTTGCCCTTTTTTATTTTTTTTTAAGACACCTACTTCATGCCGAGCAGGGAAATAAATTCGCAGAGTTTCCGTAAAATATATCTGTGCCCAAAAATAGGTTCTTTTTTTGTTTTTGTTCCACCCCTGACGGAAGAAATAACTCACATTTTTTCCATATAAAAGTAAGTTTAATTTTTTTTTCGTATTTAGTAATATATAAATAGGAAGCAAATGTCTCACCCGTGACGGTGGAATGCCCCATATTTATTATTATACGTGCGATAATAAAAAATGCAGCAATTGATTTTGATAGGCTGATTGATTAGTTGCATCCTTGAGGGTTTGCTACCTCGTTAAACGTTATTTATATCAATACCTTATTAATTTTCTTAGTGGAGTACGGGCATTACAATTTTGATAACATAGCCAAAATTCGCGCCATCATCAGCCTGTAGTGTGAAAATATGCAGTCTAGAATTTATTGTTCTTTTTGATAATAATCTTTGTGTCATAAAATTACTTTATGGCTACTGGGTTATGTTTAAAAAAAAAATAATAATATTACAGCAGCTAACAAAAAAGCAATAAATTTCTTTATCGGATCGCGTTTATTTAAAGGTCCTCATCAACATTTTCTTGAATCCAATCGATGTAGTGCGATACTTTGGTATACACGCCTGGATACGGGTACACTGTGCAGGGTTTGATACTCCACGAAACAATACCCAATTGAATATGTCCCTGATATAGCAACGGACCACCGGAATCGCCACTACACTGGCCCTTACCACCTTCGTCAACGCCGCCACAAATGTGGTCGCTGGTGGTGCGACCATTGTGCCGTTCAGTGCACTCAGCATCCGAGTAGATTTTCAAATCGACTTCTTGAACAACACTTTGTAGATAACCACCGGTCTAAACGAGAGACAAAACAACTTTCATCAATGGGCGCTTCAATACAAAACAAAACTAAAAAAACACCCATTTACTCACCGCGTTGAGGCCCCAACCAACCAGTATGCCGGGTGCTCCTTCTGCCACTTGCGGTATCTCAAAGCCCTGCTCAGGCAAGGTGACCGCCGCAATTGTTTTGCCATTGAACACCAACTGACCAAACAATTTCAAGAGCGCAATGTCATTGGCATAAGCATCCGCAGGTCGATAATCCTCGTGAACTATAATGCGTTTCACCTTCGCCACATTTGTGCTGGTTGCGCTGATTACCGACGAGGCAAACTGAATGCTGATCCGACTAGCTGTTGCGCCGGAAACGCAATGCGCAGCAGTGAGTATCCAGTGCGGTGCTATAATGCTTGAACCACAGGAGTGTGAGCCGGTCGAACCACGCAAGGACACCTTTTTGTTTGGACAATAGACAATGGAAATGGGTCATTAGTTTTTTTTTTTTTTGTTTGAAATACAATGCATTTTTTGCACTCAACGAACCAGAAATGGATAATGCTCAATGCTGGTCGAGGTGCCGTTTACGACGCGTCCTTGTGGATAACACGATACTATGCCCAATAGGGCTGTGAAAATTATGACGACTGAAGACCACATTGCTGAAGAAAACTTGTAGCGCTTTGAACTCGAGCTCTGGCAAAGCACTGTCTATATAAATACTTGATGAAATCTAATCAATTTATTGGATTGATTCTTAATCTAATCACGTATTACCCAAATAGGAATAAAGT